TACTATGTTACACAACTGTCATTTTGCATCTCTCATATCATTCATATATCTATCTCATGCATGTCTCTTACTTTTATCATGCATACTGCTGTAGAACAATCATCGTGCTTCTCTCATATTATTCTTATATCAATCTCATGGATATCTCTTACTTATATCATGTATATCATTTTCTATCATTCTTATCATGTGTATCTTTCCTATCACATATATCGTGCACAGCATGTATATCATACATATCATGCATCTTATACGTATCTTTCTGCGTATCTATCCTCTTTAAAACAATATGAAGAACCTAACTAAACTAGAGTATATATGGAGTCAAACATATATTTTGAAATAAAGAAAATTGTTGGAATTTAGAGAGAAGATTATTCACCCCAGATGCGATTCTAGATTCTTGATCTTCAGTAATTGGCTGAACATTACTGTAACTTTTATGTTGTTCTTAATAACTTATAAAACATAATATTAAAATTTAAGATTCAATAAATCAAATTATTCTTATTAAATTAGGATGAGATTATTTTATCTGAAATTTACGGAGCAGTCCTACGACGACCTTCTACATGTTTGCCTCGAACTTGCCACTTCAGGTAAACAACCTGAAATCTTAAACGACTTAAGGGCAACTGCAGCTTATTCATATAAGCAGCTTATCCTAAAACGCATCCCGCGGAGTTCGATCCGCGGCCCTCGTTAAGTGTAAAAACCCAACCGCGTTTTCGGATAAGCTGTCGAAATATTTTTTCCAAACGGTGATAAATAAGCTACCCCAAGCACACCCTTAGTTCATAAAGTGCTTGAACTAAATATAAGTGATTTCTTAAAGCATACCTTAAATAGTCTTGTCGACAACTACTCCTTTTCCAAAGCTGCCCAATCCTCTTCTATCGTTTTCTTAACTTTACTTACTCCCTTCTAAACTTGATGAATTCGTGCCAGAATCCCTTTTAGAGACCCACGAACCAACTTTGTCGCTTTCGACGCAAGTTCATCTCCATTATGACGATTAGAGATAAAAAAAATGTACAATTCATGGCAAATCTCAAAATGAAAGTGCGAGAAAGAAAAGAAATATCTCAAATAACATAAAATATGGATTACCATATGCCGATTTCATCCCGGAACTCAAAAAACTAGATGGTGGCACAGTATCGTGCGTCTGCGCACGATCCCGACCCCAGTACCGTAGCTGGAGTCGTGGGTTTTCTCGATAGAGAGGAACAACGCGAGGGAGGGAAAATGAGTGAAGACGAGGAGAGGGAAGAGGTAGTGGGACGTGACTTACTGCAGTTCGTACGACTCCATTGGGCTGCTCGACCCTTTCCATTCATGTCTACATGCTGAGCAGCAATCGCAGCTCCTGTGTCACAGCTCCTCACAGGAGTTGCTGCCGAGCGCGACAAAGGAGGGAGGCTGTGCGATCGAAAATGAGAGGGGGAGAGGAGAGGCTTCGAATGCTCTGGAATGGGATATCCCCATTTGACGCCATAGGGAGAAAATATTAAGTGGGATAGCTCGGTTAGGAACAAAAATCGAGATTAGGGAGGGTTAATTAAGAGTTAATTAATTTAATTAACTTATAACTTCCTATTTATATATATATATATATATATATTTATAATTAATATATAGTATTTCATATCAAATTGATCGATTTGACGCGTAGAGTTTTATAAAATTAACTTTGTTGAAATCTGAGGGGTATGAAAATTGGGATACATATTAAGTTGCCCAAAATCTTAACCGAATTCTCAAAATGGATTATTGCATAGAAGGTCGGACGACCCCTTAGAAGCTTAAACTGAACCTGTACAAGTGCACTGAGTGTGCCCCGTGTTAGTAAACCACCTCAAATGCAAACAACCATTCAAATATGCAACCACATTTGATGCACAATCGGTGTGAATAAGGTGGATAATTGGGTTCGTTTGCTTGAGACTTTTTAGTGTATTTGCACAACTTGTCTTTATTTTATTAATTTTCATATCATTTCTTAACATAATGGAATGTTGAATCCAAGAAACATTATTTGTGAAGATTTCATATTTAATGTATAAGGGCTTACTTTGATCTCAATTAATCTTGTTGCCTATGAAGAGAAGTGGATCTAGTGGAATTAATTAAGTTAGAAGCACGAGCAATCAAGATAGGACAATGACATGGATTTTTGTAGAGGTACTATTTTCAGAATATTCTCGGTGAAGAAATACATGCTCATGAATTATATAATAGTAGGGTTGCAAGGGTGACACAGATGTTGTGTGGAATATATCAAAGGAAAGGTTGAAGGTCATTGTCATTGAATTGAAAAACTTTGTTGGTCATCATAGTGAAAGTTTAGAGGTTGATATTGATCTTTATTATGACGTTTTTTGCAAACTAATCTAGTATTAGTGCTCTTATCAACAGTGGTGGTGATAAAAACATTATCTATGCTTCCTTAATTGAGCTATTAGAGTAAGGTACCTTATCACACCTTAAAGTAGAATAAGAAATATTCTTAACATAACGAGGTAAGCAATGGCTTGTAAAATATTTTAGCACTGGGCAATACTTAGTGTCACTTGTGATGTTGTTCCCCAAGATGTGTGCTATTTAATCCTTTGTAGTTCTATTTATCGGAGAAGGAAATTGTGTATTTATAGGAGGAAGCAAAAATACATATTTTTAGAAGGAAGGAAATATATAGTACTTTGAAAGACAATTTTTTTTTAAAAAATTCATTATTTCATCTTGATCTTGATTGGATTTATGATTTTATCAAATAGATAGAAGAGATTAACAGGAGATGTTATTCTATTCAATAACTTATCTTAAATGTATGTGAAACAAACAACTCTTATCAATCATCTTTTCAATCCTAGAGTTTGATTTTCTATAAATTATGCTTTTACTAGAGTTTCATCATCCATTCCAGTTCAAATAATTCAGGCTGTTTAGGTTGAATCCAAGAAGCTACATGACCACCACCTTTAAACTCTTTGGATGAGACTTTGTTGCTACTTATTGCAATAATGTTGGATCATCATACACCATTCATCGTTCTTTAATTAGCTTTTTGAGAGATCAATTGAACTTTTTAGTGAAAAGGCTCCTTTATGGAGCTTTGTCAAGGTAACTCCTAATTGATTGGCTCAAGATTCCTTTCTCTCGTCACTTCTTATGACCCTCTCATCTACCTTCTCCAAAGCTCTTTTCCTACTTAAGACAGGACTGAATTGAAACGTTAACTATTTTCTATCATTACTGTAGGCCTTGATGGATTATTTAGAACCCATTACTTTATTAGGGAAATACTTGTGCATGCATGTTTGTAATGGTTGTGGGAATGGGAAAGCTAATGAAAAGTATTAATGGTTGCGGGAATGAGAAAGCTAATGAAAGCATTAATAATTACATCTCAACTCTATTCTGTGGCGAAAATTTTCATAAACTAGTTTTGATACCTTTAAGGAAACAAAAGCCTTGTAATGCTTGCATTATTCTTTAAGCAAAGAGTCCTAGGAAAAAAAACATCTTTATTTGAGAGTGGATATCTTCTTGTGAATTGATATTCTATTAGCCTGTGATAATGCTAAGGCGGCTTATATGAGTAGGGTCTAAAAGGTTAATGATATAAAACTTTTTAAAACTTTGATTTGTATGCTAAATTATCATAACATGAAGGAAGGTGAGAAATGCGTATATTTAGGCTCTGGTAGAATTTGAGTTGGTCGCATGGAAACACTAGCTGTGGGAAATTTAGATGGAACTTTTTGTTGGAGGCATTTTGTAGTTTGACCAAAAGTGATGGCATCATCTCTTAACATACTGGTTTTATTTGAATAAGTTTATCAATTTTGATGTACGAAGATCTGTAGTATGCCTCACAGTATGTAATTCTTATGAAACCAAATTGATCTAATGCTCTATCTTTCATAGTCATATGGTGCAAAGAAATTTTTGAGTGCTAGTATTAAAATAAGTTGATTTCCTAATATGATGTACCATGATTATGCATACCTTTTGCCAATCTAGGGGCTGATTTGGTTATTGATGTTAGAAAAGTTTTTTTGAAGTGCAATAAAGTTTGTTAAATCTATCATTTGTCTTAATGTGATTAGACATTAATATTGATTTTTGGATGCGGCTATACTATTACAAATGCCCCAGATCATGTTAGAACTTTGTTGTAAAATAAGCATGGGTGAGAGTAGTACTAAGAAGAGTAATATATAGGGAATTGCTCATTCTGCACTCCTCAAAATGATAAAAAAATAAAAGAACGAAATTCACAAACTTCCTCCAAAGTAATGTTTCAATTTCACACTAAAAAACGATGAAAGTAATATCATTATTTTTCAAAACATTTTTTCCATCAACAAACCACTAAATCAGCCATAATATGGAATGCTTCATAAATACTTGTGTACTAGAAAAAAATTGTGATGATTATGCATATTTTCAATGAATAGCATATACACCTATTGATGACTCTGCACTATAAGACATCCTTATTTGTTCACTGATGGATACATCCTTATTTGTTGACTGATGGATTTATAGCGAGGTCATACATTTGGCTTCGTGATAGTAATACCCTCGAATGTTGGATACACTAATTGTCAGAATCAATGTGAATGAAGGATAATGGTAAAAGTATAAGTGCATGTGGGAAGGAGGCAAGGAGAATGCAAGCCAAGCAATGATTCAAGCCTTGTTGTTGACGTCCATAGTTGCTAATTCATGCATCTTAAGATTCTTGGTATTGATGAATTTGGCATTCTTTGAGTTTATGTTTTATTACTTCTTTTAAGCTTTTTTTTTTTGTTGGTTGGGGTGGCACTGGAGTTTTGTGCTAACTTCTCTTAATAACTTATGCATTATTATTTACTAATCGACAAATGTAATGTGTTATAATGTATTGAAATGTTTATCGATTTATTCTCACTCAATCTCCTCAACTTGGATAATTAATTCAAAAGTTCTAACAATTGTCTTTTGTTTTACAGTTTTTGCAAAGAGTTTTTAGTATAGATACCCTTGTGAAACCTCTTCCTCCAGCAATGGCGTACAATGTGTCGAGGAATTTGAATTTTTTCACGCGCATATTCACCCAATTTTTTGGTGAGTTCTGGAATTTAACTTAAATAATCACTATTATTATTTTTTTACTATCATATTTCCGGAGATTCATCTGAACAATGACTTATGGCACTGTTAGATTTATATGTTGATTTTTTAAATTTAACTATTCTACCCTACAATCTTTTTGACCTAAAATATCTCAAGTTAAACTAAAGCTTAATGGCCTTCAAATATATTTATTTTCTCCAAATTTGTGTTTTAATTTTTTGCAGCTAAAGAGATTATTCATAATGATACTATTTATGCAGTTCGGCCTGAAAGTTTCATTGAATTTGTATATGGGAAACAATTTTGGAAGTATTTAACTTGATTCTATTTGATAAAAGATATTTAGTATATGGTTGCTATATATTGGGAAATAATGCCAATAAAAGCGCTTATATTAAATTTAATTATAATAAAGTTCAATGTATAATCAAATCTCTTCTATTTATATTTGAAGCTAGTGTTATTAAAGGTGCTAGATGCCCTTAAGGCAACATAACAACCTAACACAGGCGCGCAAATTGCTCCCCTGAGTGAAGTAAGGTGCTACAAAATGTTTCCTATTATGATTATGAAGAATATTTTTATAGTATATAATATGATAATCATCACTATGATTATTAAAATGCAATGGGCGAAAAAAATATATTTTGAAGTTATATACACAACAAAATCTTGTCAAATAGATTGTTTAATATAAAGGGCTCACTATGACCAAAAAGTTATGTTTCAAATTCAAGCAAGCAAATAAAATTCTTAGTCGGTAGCTTCAAATGTAAGGTTAATATGCACCTCCATCTATTTTATTTTCTTGTTCAACCATGTTTTCTTCCCTATCTTTAAATTTGTGGTCTGTCATCTTATAATATGGTTGTGTATGTTTAAAGAATTAATAAAAAATTAGCATTGCAGAGGCTAGCTCTTAGGTGCTAAGGCAAGTTCTTATAAGTTAGAACATACCTAGCCGCACCTAAGAGCCAAGGCTAATGTCCAGCTTTCCTTGATAACGCCTTTTTGAAATTTGCAATTACTTGAGAGATTAGATTGAATATTGTTGTTCTATCTTAAGCCATTGCCGGTCCCAAGCCCAAATTTGAAAAGTGGAGGGTTGCGTTAGGTAATCGACAAACAACGTACTTATCGAAAAAATCATCACATGAATCCTTTTGATCATTCTGTAAGTTCTTGGTGGTCCCCTGGAAGCGATACGCTGTATGACCTGAATACAGTGAAAAGTGTGTAAGGCCGTTACACTGGCACCTAGGTGTAGTGTCAACTAAACAAGGGTTTCCACATTACGGACGAATGCGGATAAAGAAGTTAGTCCATGAAACTAATGAAACTAATATTAGGATAGGTTCTTGGAATATATGTACTGTCGTTGGTAAATTAATGGAATTAGTTGATATTAAGATTCATAGAAAGATTAGTATTTTATGTATTCAAGAAACTAAATGGGATGGAGAAAATGTTAACGAGATTGATAACTTAGTTTTTAAACTTTGGTATTCTGGTAAGACTCACACTACAAATAGTGTAGGTTTAATTGTAGATACGATTTGAAAGATAATGTTTTAAAATTTAATAGAGTTGGTGATAGAAATATAGCCCTTAAGATTATTATTGATACTAATATTTTTAATATTATAAGTGCTTATGCTCCTCAAGTAGGTTATGATACTTCTTTGAAAAAAGAATTTTTATTTTTGGAGATTTAAATGAACATGTGGATGGAGTGGTAGAAGATTTCATAAATATTCATGGTGGTTACGGTTTTTGAGGGACTAATGAAGAAGGTAGAGCCATTTTAGATTTTGTTTTAGCGCATGATTTTGTTATTATTAATACTTTATTCAAGAAAAGAGATGAACATCTTTTTACTTATAAGAATGGATCTAATAAAACACAGTTGATTATTTTCTTATGAGAAGAAGAGATTATCGAGATTGTAAAGATTGTAAGGTCATTCCAAATGAGGATTTAAGTACCAAACATCGATTATTAGTTCTAGATTTTAAGATGGAGTTGTAAAATAAAGAATATTAGGACTCATCATCGTAGAATTAGACGGGGGAACTTAAAAGACACAAATAAAATTATTTTTATGAGTAAAATTTAAAATTTTAAAATTTGAGTTGTTCATGAAGATTCAAATGCTATGTGAGATAAAGTAACGAACATTATTAAATAAGTAGCAACAAATATACTTGGAGAATCAAAAGAAAAGATTTTTATGAATAAAAATACTTGGTGGTGGAATAATAATACGTAAGAAAAAATAAAATATAAGAAGATGTATTATAAAAATTGGTTTAAAGAAAAATATCAAACGACCCGCAGGGAGTCTAAAAAAACAAGCTGTGACATTAAAAATTCTGCTTTTTGTGATATTTATAATAGATTAAATGCTAAGAAGAGTGAAAAAAATATATGCATAAACTAGCCAAACAAAGAGAAAAGAAAAGTAAAGATTTAACTTAAGTAAAGTGTGTTGAAGATGAAAATCAAAATGTGCTTTTCTTAGAAAAAGATATTTAACATAGGTTGGTTCGTAGTTTTGATAAACTTTTTAATGAGTTTTCTGAAAATACGTTCGATCTTAGTGATCTTAATATCGTTAATAATAATAAAACATTTCATTTTTACAATTGCATTAGTAAAAAAAAAGTTGATGAGGCTTTAAAGACCCAATGGTGGAAAGTCTATAGGACCTGATGATATCCTAATTGAAGTGTGGAAATATATAGGAGAATTGTTATTTAGGAGATTTGAGAATTTCTTGGCTTATTAAACACTTTAATATTATTTGAAAAACTAAAAAGATGCCTGAGGAGTGAAGAAAGAGTATTTGGTCCCCATTTTTAAGAATAAAGGGAATGCACAAGAGTGTGCAAATTTTAGAGGAAGTAAGTTGATGTGTCATACTTTAAAATTTTTGGAGAAGGTAATTGAACATAGGTCAAGATTTATGATGTGATACAAAAAATTGTCAAAATCAGTTTGGATTCATACTAGATAAGCCTACTATGGAAGTTATACATTTAATGGGAGGTTTGATGGAGAATTTCAGAGATAATCAAGAGGATCAACATTTGATTTTTATTGATTTGGAAAAAACTTATGATAAGGTTCTAAGAGATATCCTTTGGAAAGTTCTTAAGAATAAAGTGTTGATATGACTTATATTCAAGTCATTAAATTTATGTATAATAGAGTTCTACTTGTGTTCGAGTTGAAGGAGGATTGACCAAATATTTTCCTATTTCTGTTGGATTACATCAGAGATCAGCTTTAAGGCCATATCTTTTGCTTTAGTTATGGATGGTCTTACTGGACATTTACAGGAGGATGTTCCTTGGTGTATGCATTTTGCTGATGATATCCTTCTCGTGGATAAGATGAGAGAAAAAGCCCAGGAAAAACTTGAATTATGGAGGTATACATTAGAGTCTCAAGTCCTTTTGTGTAGAACTAAAATTGAATACATGGAATGTATTTTTAGTTGTAATAGTAGCTCTAGTGACAGAAGTGTAACTTTGGGTGATTAAATTATTAAAAGGTGTGAACCGTTTAAATATCTCAAGTATGTTGTTCAAAGCGATGGTGATATAGATGGAGATTTTAATAATAGAACTCAAGTTGGTTGGTTGAAGTGGAGGAATGCTTCGGGCCTTTTGTGTAATAGAAAATTATCGCTTAAACTGAAAGAAAAATTTTAGAAAATGTCGGTGAGACCCGCATTAGTAAAAAACTTTTCATTACTGTTGCATTAGTTGAAAAGGAGTTGAGGAGGTTTTAGAGAAAATCAAGGGTAAAATCAAGGGTGAAAAGTCTGTAGGACATGATGATATTCCAATTGAAGTATGGAGATGTTTAGGAGATTTGAGAGTTTCTTGGCTTACTAAACTCTTTAATATTATTTTAAAAACTAAAAAGATGTCTGAGGGCTGGAGGAAGAGTATTATGATCCCCATTTTTTAGAATAAAAGGGATGCACAAGAGTGTGCAAATTATAGAGAAATTAGGTTGATGTGTCATACTTTAAAATTATGGGAGAGGGTAATTGAACGTAGGTTAAGACGTATTACAAATATTTCTCATAATGAATTTTGATTTATGCCGGGCAGTTCTACTATGGATGTTATATATTTATTGATAAGTTTGATGGAGAAGTTCAGAGATAATAAGGAGAATCTACATTTGATTTTTATTGATTTAGAAAAAGCTTACGATAAGGTTCCAAGAGATATCCTTTAGAGAGTTCTTGAGAAGAAAGGTGTTGATATGACTTATATTCAAGTCATTAAAGGTATGTATATTAGAGCTGTTACTTGTGTTCTAAGTGAAGGATGATTGACCAAATATTTTCCTATTTCTGTTGGATTACATCAGGGATCGGCTTTAAGCCCATATCTTTTTGCTTTAGTTATGGATGGTTTTACTGTACATCATTTACAGGAGGGTGTACCTTGGTGTATGTTTTTTGCTGATGATATCCTTCTCGTAGATAGGACGAGAGAAAAAGCTCAGGAAAAACTTGAATTATGGAGGTCTACATTGGAGTCTAAAGGCCTTTATTTGAGTAGAACTAAAACTGAATACATGGAATGTAATTTTAGTAGTAGTAGCTCTAATGACAGATGTGTAACTTTGGGTGATCAAATTATATTAAAATGTGAACGATTTAGATATCT